GGGAGTTAAACTTAGCCTACGAGAAAGAGGGAGTCACTGTGGGTTAATGGGAAGAAGAGGAGAGAGGAAGAGGGAACGGGACGGAGAACAACTGTAGGTGGGAAAGACAAGATTACGTGCACAAACGGACGGGGAAAAAGCGAAGAGGGTAAAGGGAAGAAAGAAAAGCGGCCTAGAGGAGGACGACGCATAAGGAAAACAAGAAGAGCATGACGTAATCAACGAAAGAGCATGTTTAATTAAGAAGAGCTGAAAAAAGATTAGGGGAGAAAAGATAGGGGGGGGGTGTTGATGATAAGACATTGAACTCTAGGTTCTTTTCTAATTGTTAAAGTCTGAGTTTTCTATTATAGTGTGCCATTTCAATAATGCAATAATGTTTTTTAGAGTTCGGAATCTGGTGTTTATGTACAGCTGACAATCTTCCTTTCTTGAGATACAATATTTCACCTTAATTTGTTCCTTATCTAAAGCAAATTTAATGAATACGTCATGGAAGCTTATTTAAACAACAAAAAATGACGTGTGGGTGTACGTTTTGGAGCGAAAAGACCATCATTTCGAAATGGAATGACATGGCATTATTTGACAAAGCAAAGTGTCAATCAATGGAGTGATATAAGTAATAGTATTTGGTCGTATGCTTGAAATCAGTTTGCCGGAAGTGAACTTGGAGGGAAAATACAAAATTACTCGGAACGTTGAATAACCGATTTGTTAAAGTAAAAGTCAATATTTGCTGAAGTGTTCGCAAACCAATTTCTATGCTATTTTGCCGACCTTTATATCAATGACGTCACACGTCTTCCCGGCCAAACATTGGCTTACATCTCTCTCGGGGGAAATCGGCACACTGCCTTTGGGGGTTGTGTGCTTGCTAATTATTTGAAAGAATCAAGCTCAATCGAACTGTGTGCAAAGTGTATTGTCCCAGAGCACCTAAAACAAAAGAGCAGGAGACTGTTGAGCAAACTTGGCGTATAGGAAATGGAGGGCAAACACTCACAGGATGGACAACAGCGTAGGGGGCTACCAATTTCTTGAGAAGATCGATACTTCAGGAAAAAACAGTTTTATTTTCATTCTAAAAGAGTCAGAAATGAGATCTTTGTTGCTTTTAAAGTATGTATCTGTGGCAGTTAAAAAGAAATGTCATTGGTGAAAACATAGAGAGTTTAAGAAATCTAAGACAAAGCCAACAGCATTGTAGAACACTGGTTGTAGTATGTGCGAGACGAAACTCTTCCAAACACGCAATAGTTTTTATGAAAACTAGGACCTACAACTTAAATGTCTCTCTCCAACTTGACAAGTATAGCGTCGAAAAGTTGTCCATTTCAACAATTCTATCTGCGTTCTTTCTTTTTACAGAACTTGCATTAAAAAAGGCAGGCACCGTAGACAACAGAAACGTTGATCATGGCAAAACTAATGAAACTTTAGTCTTCCTTACAGTGCCCAGGGCCCATGAAACCTAAAAGAAAAAAAAACTCAACGTTCCAGCGAACCTCCCACACCCACACGTACCTCTACACCCACCTCTGTTCCCCAATTGCTAATTTTTATGGCCTTTTCAGACTGGACGACAAGATCTGAGCCTTTTCAAGACAAAGACACACGGTTGGATGGTTGTCGTTGCCTTTTGGCCAACAGCAATCGAAATGATAGATAAAAGTTACTGGGGCATTGGAAAGAAAAGGGACCTACTTGTGACATTCTCCTTACCTCACACAGAACAAGAGATAAATGCGATGTCGGTCGGAGAGAAACGGACTTAGAAACACGTATCTTAAAGGTGACAAAATTTTAACGTTCCTAAATAAATTTTCGTTTACTTTAGGTAAACTTACTTCTCCTCATATGGAGTAGTATGGAAATTTATGATCTCCTGCTGCCTCCTAACCTCACTGAAAAACAAGAACAACATTCAAGCAGTATGCTAATTTAAAAACGGGACAAACCTTCTGATGAATCCCATAATAGGTCATAGGCCGAGGGAAGACTCTCATACATCATCAGTGGAGGATGCTCCATCGGTCCAGGGGTAGGCGTGTTAGTCACTGAATCTCTCCTTTCATCGTCTTCTGGTGTGTTCTTATTTGATGAAGGACGAGAACTCTTGGCCGACTGTATTCTCCTCGACGATGCCGACGCTGAGCTTCCAGGCCTTCGGCTGGAAGCTGTCCCTGGTCTCGATGATCCCGACGTGACTGTATTAGAACTCTGAGATGATTTCCTGTTTCTTTGAGAACTCGCCTCTGTGGCTGCTGCTTTTTGGGACGACTCAGAGCTTTCACTTGACACTGGGATTGAAACAGGGGCTGGACATTCTGGTGTTGGAAGAAGAGACGATGGATACACAATCGACCTGGTGACTGGGTTAGCGCTGTTTGCCGGTCTAGCTACTGAAGTCACCGTCAGAACAGAGGAAACTGAAGTGTTTTCTGGTTTCCTCGAAAAAGGGTTAGCACTTTTGGGGAATACAATTCCATTGGCTGACGGTTGCGGTGAAGTTTTCATTGTTTGAAAAGGACTCTTCGTTTCAATGTTTGTATTTGAAATATTCGGGACGCTTATTCTGGTCATAGAAATCTTTCTTCTCAGCTTTCTGTCAGATGTCACCCCCCGATTTGTCTCCGATGTTTTCGACGCTGTTGTTGGACTGTTCATTCTAGTTCCTTCGTTCAAAATGCCTGAACTTTGAGAGGCTGAAGCTAGACTGTTTGACAAATTGGCTGGAGTATGAGCCATATTGCTTTGTTAGATCCACAATTGAAAAACAAAACCACAAAGTCAGTGTGAATTATTTGCTAAGCAAGGTCCGGCAATGGGAAGACCTTGTTTTGAATAAAAAGGAAAGCTGAAATCACGGAATGTCGACCATGAGTGACTGCCTAAAGGAGATCACTCGAGGGTGGGCAATAGAGCGGCTGTAGCGGCTATGGGCAACCCGTCCGTACCACCGGCACAATAATTATTCCCTCGTAATCAGAGCACGTGATCCAGATCATATCTGTGCTCGGACAAAACACCTCAACTAAACAGACATGGATTCCAAGCTCGGAATAATGTGTCAGTAGCTCAGTTTCTTTCTAACGTGCGGACAAATGACTGGTGTACACGTACGCATTTCACCGCCCAGTAGTAAGGATTCGATAAATTTCAATAGCTGAAAGTTATTGGGGTCTTTTCCCACTTAACAACCACTATAAGAGAAACCCTAGACTTTTCTGGTGGCGTTATCGGGAAAAGGAACCCACTCTTCTTTATTCCTGTTGTCTGGTAAAGTTGGTGGAATAGAAACATGTGGGTCTATTTGTTCTTTTTTCTTCAATCTCAGCTTACACAGATTCATTCTATTCTCTCCTTTATCGGTCAGAAAAGGGTAGATATGAAATAATAATATGATGTGAAGTTTTTTTATGTGTAGGTGTTTGGTGAGGGGATTTTATTTTACAAGTGGAATCAAGAGAGTACTGATGGAGCAAAAGTAGAGCAAGACCACATTGATTGGTTGTAACTATAAGAGGGTTCTGATATTTAAAAAGACCTCAGCACACTGTTGGGTTGCTACCCTGCTTGTGTAGCCGAAAATTTATTGATACTATTCTTTACCTGGTACTTTGTATTCGGCTAGTTCCCTTTTTTCCCATTAGCTTTTGAAACAACTATTGCTTTATGAAACTTTCTTGATGTAGCATTTTGAACGTGTAAAAATTTTGTTAAATCTTAGGCTAAATCTAAAAAAGAACTAGACAAAACAAAAACTTTGCTAAATCAGTCTGATGTTTCTGTTTATTTTATTACGCAATTTGTGTATAGATTATGTTTTTCTCTTATATTTACCTTTGTTTGTACAAAAATGCTAAGAACGTAAAAAGAAGTACACGAACAAAAACCTGAGAGGAGAACCAGGTGAAAAGGGTTTCGGAACGCACAATTGCCTTCTTTGTTGGTAAAAAGGTTTTACGTCCTTTTGTACCGTAGCCTGTTTATTAGCTAAACTTAATAACGTGTAGATTGCCTCATATTACGGACCTTCCTGAGCTGGATTATACTCCAATTATGAGAAAAAAAACCCCCAGCTTGAACAAATGACAGACCAGGATAAAAAGAACCCACTTTTGTGCTTTGGCAGAAGAAGCGATGGTAAAAATCAATCGCTCGGAATTCATTAACTTTTCAACGTTTAAATCGAAATTGCACACAGAGCCTCGGTTATTTCATTCCTTTTCTCTTGCTATTCTATTGGAACTAACGTATTCCTTTAAAATGTTGTGTTTTAAACAAGTTTGGGAACTGCTACCTATAGTAGTCTGAGTAGGCGATGAAAAGGAATGCTTTGGCTTGGCTATCGGCTAATCCTGCTCATTGTGTTTGCATGGGCGCTTCCACACAAAGCTAACAGTGGGTATTGTGTTCACAGTCTACTTGGTACGACTGACTGTCACTCGAGGGATCTATAAGAGTAGGAAACGTTCCTAAAAATGTGCTTATGTTCTTTTTTTGTTGTTGTTGTTTCAGGTGTTAGCGATTCTAACGTTGTTGCTGTTGCTGTTTGTATTGCTGTTGTTGTTTGTATCGTTGTTGTTGCTGTTGTTTTGTTGTGGTTTTGTTATTGTTGTTTCTGCTGTCCTCGTCGTTGTTGTTGTTGTTGTTGTCTGTGTTGTTGTTGCTGTTATTGTTGCTATAGTTGTTGCTGTTTTTCGCGATGGCGATAGTGATGATGATGATAATGAGGATAATGATGATGATAATGATGATGATGATGATGATGATGATGATGATGATGATGATGATGATGATGATGATGATGATGATGATGATGATAAGGAGGAGGAGGAGGAGGAGGAGAAGTAGGGGGATGGAGGAGAGGGCAGGATAATCATATTGGAGTGATTGTTTTCTTTCAGATACTCTTTAATGTTTGCTGCTGATGCTCATTTTCTAATCATTTCTGTTTTCTTTTCAGAGAGAGAGAGAGAGAGAGAGAGAGAGAGATT